TGTACTACGGCCTTAGCGGCTGGATCAATGGCGAGGTGGTGACAGGCGACCTCAGGGTCGAGTCCGGGCATCTCCGCAGCGCTCCAGGCGAACAGATCAGCATTCTCGCGCAGACAGGCCTTGATTTGCTTCCTGGCCAAGTCGGGGAGGTCTTTGCCAATCTTCACTCCCTTGGTCGAGTCTGTGCCGAGGGGAACGAATTCAAAATCCCCGTCCGGTATTGGTCGGAGTGGGATTTGCTCGCTGTTGGATGGCTCGTCCTGACCGAAGCGGGTGTCCAGGGCTATAGAATCGACCTTTGGTGGAGCTTTCTGGACTTCTTCCTCGGGGGATGCTTTCCTGTCGGGCTCCTGTTTTGTCCTTTTGGCGGGTCTGGTCCCTATGTCGATGGTATCCCGTCCCTTAGAAGCGGCGTTGAAGCACCTACGGGCAGCGGCTAGGTCTCCTTGGATGGTGGCTACCCGTGCCCTCCTGGTGTAGAACTTCATCTTCAGATGGACGGTCGAGGGCACCGCTGTTAGCTCTGCCAGTGTCGGTCTCCCCAAGATGCAATTGTACAGAGACGGGCAGTCAATGACGAGGAAACGGACTTTAACTTATCTCGTAGTCGTTCCTTCGCCGAACGTAACAAGGAGCTCGACATAACCCCAAGGTTTGGAAGTCGAGTCGTTGAAGCCTTGTAGATCCGACCCCACATACGGAGAGAGATGTGAGTCGTCCAACTGTAGGGTTCGGAACAGCTGGTTGTACATCACGTCGACGGAACTCCCTTCGTCGACCAGGATGCGATGCACGTCAAAATTGGCCATCCTTGCCCTTATCAGTAAGGGGATGACCGCGTTCGGGGCTCCGCCGGGGAGCTCTTCTAGGTAGAAGGTGATGGGCTCTGACCTGCCCTTCACCCTTTCGAACGTTACTGTTTGTGGGGGAGCCGCGTCGACCAGCTCGTCCAACTTCCTCTTAGCTGAATTGATGGTGAGGTCGTTGAACCCGCCCCCATTAATGACCATGGCGGAGGGAAAGTATTCCCACCTGCTGTGCGTTGTCAGTGGTTCCTGTAGGTGCTCGGGAATGTCGAAGTCCTCGGGCCTGGTCACCGAGAAGGCGGTTTGGATAGGCACCGACTCGTCTGATGGTCGGGCGTCTTCTTCTGGCTCCTTGGCTTCATGGGCGTCACGACGAGGAGCGTCGTTTCGCCGATACTGCGCGAGCCTCCCTCTCTTGATGAGGGTTTCAATGGCGTCTTTGAGGTGGACGCAATCCTCTGTCAGATGGCCATGACTCTGATGGTATTGACAGTATTTATTTTTGTCCGCCCCAGGCTTGGCGGGAGCAGGTCGGGGACGCTTGACGCCGCCGTCCTTGAAGTCTGTACTGGCACACTCTGCCAGGATACGCTCGCGGGAAGCGATGAGCGGAGTGTACTCGGTGAAATGGCCCGAGGGGCCCCTTTGTTCCCGGACTTCCCGGGGTCTGTCTTCTTTCCTTTTCTCCCCGGTTCGTCGAGGAGGAGCCTCTTGGCGCGAGCTGCTGTTGGTGGGACCCCGAGTCCTGGAATCTCGAGCTCTGTTGGCCGCTTCTCTCTCCTCGTAATCCATGTATGCCCGAGCTTTTTCGAGGAGGGCGTCGAAAGACCTGGGCGGCTCGATTCCCACGGCTTTTCTGAACTCTGTGCCGGGGAAGAGCCCCGTCTCCAGCAGATATCTCTTCATGTGGTCCGTGCAGGGGACCTGTATCGCTTCTCGGTTGAAGCGGTTGGTGAACTCCCTCAAGGTCTCATCCTGTCTTTGGATGATGGCCTCGAGCGCCGCCTCGGTCTTTGGATGGCGTCGAGAAGCGGTGAAGGAACTGATGAACTGGTTCTTCAGGTTCCGCCACGAGGTGATTGAGCCCGGGGCGAGCCCTTTGTACCAGTCCATGGCCGCCTTCCTGAGAGTCGTGGGGAAAAGACGGCACTTGATGGCCCCCCCCCGACATTATGATAATGGAGCATAGCCTCGAACCCGTCAATATGGTCGACCGGGTCCGCGACTCCATCGTACTCCTTCAGATGTGGGGGCTTCTCCATGCCCGGGGGGATGGGTGCATCCATGATGGCCTGCGACAGGGGACCGCGGGGGTCGTCCTCGTCGCTCCTCTCCGGAGATAGGGATGGGGACCTGTAGTATTGTCTGGCACGGTGGTCGTGCTGAGTCTCCCTCGAGCGTGATGCTCGTTGGTTGAATGTTACACGCCCGTCTCCGGCGTGTCTCTTGTCGTGCCTTACCGGGTCGCGACTGGGTTCTCCGGCAGGGATGACGGGCTCTCTCTCCAAATAGGGTCGCCTCTGCTTTGGCCGGGGAGAAGGGCTTCTGGAGTTTTCCCTGTAGTGTCTCCGCGGGGGAGAAGGGTGTCGAGCCTCAGTCACCCGAGGAGGGGGAGTATGTGGTCTCCGATGCCTCCTCGAGGGTCTTCGCTCGTCTTCAAGCGCCTTTAATCTCTCTCCTTGGGCGAAGATGAGATAGTTCGTTTGGTTAATTGCTGCGAACAACGCTTGTGTGGTGGCATCCGCCCCGGAGGGGACGGGGACTTCCTGAAACCGGACGGCTCTGTAGTGGGCGAGGGCCGCCGGGTCGTCCTCGAGTGGTGGTGGGAGCGAGGAGGATGATGCTGTAGCCCCGTCCCTGTACGAGGAAGTTCCGGGGACGGTTGTTGCAGGAATGGTGTTGTGGCCGGGATTGCCGGCATTGTCGAGATGTCCGTTTTTGTCCGCCGTGCCGTTATTGGTGTCGGTGACACGGACGTTCTGCTCATCGCGAGCTGGATCAGCCATGACAGGTAGTTGAATATGAGCTTTGGTCTTTTGAGTTGTATGTAAGACGGGGAAGCTAGTTTCCCACAGATGGCGCCACTGATCTAACCTGATCAGACTTGGACCGTCACGGCTGGCTCCGAGCTGAAAGTTTTGAACGAGGTGGGGGGGTACCTGCAAGACACTCCGATGCTGAAGTAAGTAAGAGCACGGGCAAGCAATAGTAAGTATGGGTAGAATGATGAATATCTGACCCTCTGGAAACAGAGGGTATTTATAGCCCCCAGCGCTGGGCCAAGGTTCCTTCCTTGGGCCGGGCAGGTTTGGCCCAATGGAGGAACTGCCAGGTTCTACGTGCGTAGTGGGGACCCGCACGTGGTCCCCTTCCTGGATGTTCTGCGTGAAGTGCGGGCGGACGGAGACGCGGTCTTTTCGGGGTCTCGTTGGGAGTGCAGTGGACTGAGTCTGCCCTAGTTGGGGTTGCTCGAGATGATGTCGAGCTGGACAGCGGGATGTCGAGCTGGACAGCAGGATGTCGAGCTGGAGAGGTGGAGGTCGAGCAAGTAACCTCAGGGAGCACGTCGGGCACGACTGTGACCCTTTGGTCAGCGTGGCCCTCAGTAGGTCCGTTTGAATTGGGCTTTAACAATGCTATTGGGCCTGTCGGGCCCAGTCCAGAACAGCGTTAAATGCTTTTTATTAGATTGTGACAAGTATTTTATATAGGTGGTAATACATAACTGTTTCAATTTTCATGATCTTTTTAAAAAAAATTAACTAAATCTTATGTTATAATCAGGTATTGAACATATTGAATCTGTTCCATGATGTTGGTCAAACATTTTACTAACTACTAGACTATATTAAATTTTTTATCACAATATGACGCAGATATATATATATTTATATATAACACTTGTTTGTTTACTCCACAATATTTACTCATAATTACTATTTTAATTATATTTATTATAATAATTTATTAGTATTCATTTAAATTTATTTATCCATAACTATTTCGTAAAAACTTAATTTTTATATTATTTATTATTTTGATACTTTTTATATATTTTTTATTTTATTAATTATTATTTATTTATTAGTACAAATATTAATTTTTAGTATCAATATTAATTATTATTTATAACTATTAATTAGTAAAAACTTACAATTATTTAGTAAAAATTTAATTTTTATATTCATAATTATTGTTTAGTAAAATGTATATAACTATACATTTAAAATATTTGATTTTTATCACTTAAAATAATTATACATTTGTTATACATTTTACAAAATGTATGCCGTCCAATAAAATATTAGATTTACAAAATTATTAAATATAAATATGAAAAGCTAGTTTTTAATAAATAGTTAAAAATAATAAAATTAAATGAATATAAGAGTTAATGGAGAAAATTAGTTTTCACATAAATAATAAAATAAAATAAACTAAAATAAAATAAAATTTAATATAAAAACAAATATAAAAATCATCAAAATAATAATTAATATAAAAAGTAAGTTTTTATTAAATAATTATAAATAAATAAAATTAAATGAATATCCATATGTTGTACTGATTATCAAAATAATAACTAATATAAAAAGTAAGTTTTTATTAAATGATTATAAACAAATAAAATTAAATAAATTATTATGATAAATATAATTAAAATAACAATTATGATAAATATAATTAAAGTAGTAATTATGAAAAAAAATACAAATGTATTGCTGGATTCTTATGAATAAATTTTGAGGAGATAAAACACATAGTTTATTGGCTGATGTGATTCTAGGAGATGTTAATTCTATATTTTATTTTCAAATTTATTAAAAGTAAAATTCCGCGGCTCAGCTATTTGCATTCTCCGCGAAAAACTGTCGGTATTTCAATATAATTTCAGTTCATGCATCTAACCGTGTAGTAATACCAAGTCAAAGTCAGAGTCAAAATCCAACGATAACACATGTTTACTTATGGGTTCAAACAAAACATTCAAATGCCGTGAAACAAGACTTTCTTTCTCTCCCTCTTTCTCACCGATTTCCATTTCAAAATCTCACCTTATTATATATTCACACAACTAACAACATAACCACCTCAACTCCTTCACAACAAACCCAACAAAAACAAAACTCAACGACACGACATAACATAACATAACAATATATCTTTGTAAACAACAACCTTAAATTTTGTATTATGGGTTTTAATTCACGTACACTAGAAGTCACGGTTATGTCAGGTGAAAACATTCATGTACCTGAGGATGCATACGTTGTTGTTCGAGGTGAGTCTCTTGATTGTTACACGACAAAAACTGTGAAAGATAACAAGTCGAGTTTTCTTTCGTGGAATGAGAAGTTTCTGTTGGACATGCCATTGCATGCAAGGTCAATCACGTTTGAAGTGCAATGCAAAAAATTCAAAGGCGTTCGCCCTATTGGAGTGGCGAGGATCGCGGTTGCGGACTTTCTTAGCGGAAGCGAATCGGAAAATTGCATGCAAGTTTTGAGGTATAGATTGAGGGATTGGGAAGGGAGGAAAAATGGAGTTATTAATTTTGGTGTGAGGGTGGTTGTGCCGGAGAAAACATCGGTTACCACGGCGGAAATCGACACCGTCATGAATGGAAAGAAGAATTATGGTGGCAAGAATTCTAATGGTGTTGTTATTGGTATTCCTATTTGGTGGAACTACCCTAATGTTATTTAGAGATTTGAATTTTAAATTATTTGATTTTTATGTATGTTTGTTAAATGGAGGCAATTTCAATGCAAAAGTATATTCTTTTTTAAAATTGTAATTCTTGCGCCCATTTTTTAAAAAGATTTATTTTGACTTTCTTTATCACAATAGTAAGGAGGTTTAACGAAGATCAGATAATTAGATTTTGTTTGATAAAAATAGTGGTTGATTGGTAAACTATCTGATATGAAGTTAAACAAGAATCCTAGCAAGATTAATAAAAGATAATAAAAATTAGAAATTCTAAAGATAAACTAAGAGGACAATGATAAAAGATAATTTTTGATTTCATTTGATTACTGCTTAATGGCTCAATGAGACTACAATATATAATACTTCTAATGGATAATAGATTTAAAAGACCCAAATAATAGTAAAAGTCTAATAACAATATTGATAACTCATAATATAATCTAGAACTCTATTAGACCATATGCATCGTTGTCGTCGGGTTCACTTGAACCTTGTCCTTAAAGTTCTAAAATTACTTTTCTTCAATTTTCTCACTCTTTGCAAGGGCAATGCATCTCAACCCTTCGGCTTCTCTCATTGCATCATCAGCATGAGATTGAAACATTTTAGCTTTTGCGTGTTTGATTTTTACTATGTTTTCCAATTCATCAAAATAAAAGTTATTTTGAACACTACACATCTGCAACTCTTGCACCAATATCCTTTTATCATTCTTGTCAAATCTTGGAAGGATGTTTGGAGGTCTTTCTAATAATAGTGGTGGCTTTTATGAATAAATAGATTTCAGCCAAGCAATGTCCTGGCTGGGCCCAGTTACCCCCAGTTACTTCTAATAATTTAAGAGGTTAAAATTTTGATATTTTAAAATATTTGTGCTAAAGTGGATATGTAAATAATTTAAACTAATTCTCAAAGATGAGCAAGAATTTCTAAAAGTACCAAATCCTGACCTAATTTTTTTCAGAGATTCAAATCAAAAATTCTCTAAGCTCAGGCCATATAAATGAAAACTATGAATATGTACAGCTTCAGGGCAATGATATCTACATTTTATCTTTGAAAATGAAAGCCTCACAATGCCTAAATGAAGAGATGGAAGTTCAGAAAAATACCTCAAGAACTGGAAATCGTGAAATGAGTTTGAGCTGCTTTCAAAGAGTTGTGATGATCAGGTTAGCTTCCTCAAGTTCCCAGGAAGCTAATGCAATGCGTAGCTTGAGCTATGGATGGCTGGAATGGTCTGGAGAAGTCAACTTGCAAACTTTATTTTTTTGTTATGGAGGTTGATGAAGATGGTGTTACAGTTCCAAAACAAGGACAGGGATGGACTATATTTGAGGTATAGAAGCTTTGCAAATGAATTTGAGGGAAAACGCACGAGGAAAATGAGAGATACAAGTTCAAGGTCAGAATTGTGTATCAATGGTGTTTTTGAGCAATTTCTGGTTTATGAGTGTTTGAGAGAGTTTCAGAGTCTTAGCATTCGTGTGTTAGCTTGCAAATAGTGTCTCTATTTATAAGAAAATGGTTTTGTGTGCTACAAATTTGAATTTACATGTTTAAGCTCAACATGTGATTTTCTTGACCAAACAAGTTTCCATGTCTTGTACCATGCTATTGTAGAGTCGTTGAACTTTAAACAAGCTTGCTTCTGGCTTTTTGGATGGAGTGTACTTAAAGAAAACAAGTTAGGAGCTCAAGAAGTTGACTTTGTGCATAAAGCTTGCTTTACAAGAATGGATATGTTACTTTCTCCCCAAAATGGCAAATTAGTTTGGACAAAGCTTGAAGCAATTGGATAAGGGCATAATCAGTTCTGTAAACCATTAATTATGAATTGACAAACAAGTTTGAGGCCTGCAAAGTGAGGATTATGTAGCATGTCTATGTATTTGGTTCATGTTGATCACAAAATATGCCTTATAAATCAAGTTTGAAACCCTAACTTCTTGCCTTCGATTCTTTTAGCTCAAGTATGATCTCAATGAGTTCTTGGACATTTTGGAAATCTTGTAACATCCTCTACAACCTCTATGTTGGACATTTTTGAATATTCATCTTGGAACTAGATGAAAAGTTGCCATGAAGTTGGTACCAAAAATCTGCCTAACTAGGGCAAAATTTTACTAAGTGTTTAAGTTTCATGAGCATGTCTTCACAAATTTATAACTTGAAATCCAAACATTTCTAGAAAAAGTTATGTCCTACAATGTTTTAGATATCACTGAGATCTACAACTTTCATGTTGGAAGTTTCTCTTGAATCATCTTGCATCATGGTGGAAATTTGGCACAAAGTTGTGAAAAAAAGTTAATTTTCCAACACTTCGAAAAATTTCTAAGTCTTAGAATTTTGACTTTTCAAAAATGAATTTTCAATTTTCAATTTCTTGATGAACAAGTTTCATATTGTGACATGTCTTGATGAATTGTAATCTTTGAGACTTGATTTTGATCAAAAAGTCAAAGTTTGACTTTTCAGTATACAGTTGATTTTTCATCAGTTGATTGAAATTCAGCTGTCAATCTAATAATCTTGAGATATGATTTGAACTATGCAATTAGGTCAAGATGGTGCATTTGAATCCTTGAGATCATGTCTTAAACCAATAAGTCATTTGTTAGGTCAAAAATTGAACCTCGTCAATCAAAACCCTAATTTTGATCATTTTGCCCTTTTGATTATCTGCTCAAATTTCTTGAGGAATTATGATCCAAACTTGATCAAATGACATATACGAGTTCATAATGTTGATATGGACCATAAATTATGAAGTTTGACTGTAAATTGACCACATTTGACTTTTTCCCCAATACAACTGATTTTAAGTTATTTGATCAACTGACTGAGAAAAAATGTGATCCAAGACTTGAAACTTGACATGAGCAATCTTGAGGGTTCCTAATGATCCATAAAAGTCATATGGGACATTAAAAGTTCAATTGTCCTTGTGAAAACTCAAACCCTAATTTTCAGTTGTCAGTGTTGAAGAAGTGTCTTGAGCTGATCAAACATTGTGTAGTCTTTAAACAAAGGAGATCTTATGAGAGATTTCTTGATAAATGAGAGGGAAAATTTTGGGGTACAACAACAACCAACTAATTCCAAAGTAAATCTTAATGCTAACAATTTTATTACTCATACTTTTTATCCCCGCGTTTAGATTTTTACTTACACTTACATTTACTGCTTGCAATCTTGCAGAATACTGCCTCTGCATCACATAACTGGATCCCCGGTACAAGCTTTAACAATACCCCTTCAAAGAGGTTATCTCCATCCGATGAAGTTCAGGAACCAGAGGGTCCTGATTTGTTATCACCAAAACTGCCTGCCACAAAGACAACAAGGACCAAGTCTGCAAGGCACAACAAATACTAGTGATAACCTCTGGCCGCACTTTTTGGGATCTCTACATTGTTGTTTTGGATACAACCTGTTGCTGATTTTAACTTTGTTTATGGAGAATCTTTTGATTAAATTCGCATTTTTCTAACCATCTTTTAAGTCAATTTAACTTTTGAATAATGCTTTAAGTCTATTCTAAGTTTGTATCAGACATGTAACAACTTAATGTTGTAATTCATCTAACAGCTTTTTGCTAAACTTATCATCTTTCTTTCAAAACACATTTTCCATTCTGATATTATATTTTCTCATGTCTACTGTGGTTGCACTTGTCTGTTATTTGTATTTTGCATTTTCCCTGCATAATATCAGAACATAGGATAAAAATATTTTAAACAAAGCCATATAATAAATATAACTATTGAGTTATGACTGCATATTTCGTATAGCCACTCAGGCTTTTTCATATAACACAATATGTTATTTCCTAGCAAAATCATTTAACTTTACCATAACAATGTAATAAAAGAATGAAAGTTAAAGTTCCATTCATGAAAAATAAGCTCACTTTCCATCCAAACAACAACTTTTTAGATAAGCTCACGGTCGGCAATTTAAATAACATAATAACGTTTGAATCCATCCGCGGAATTGAAGCTGCAAAGAATATTACCGTAAAGTCAAAGTCAATAGTCAAAATCCAATAATAATAAACACTAATTTTCCAAACCATGAATTCGAATAACATAACAAAATTACACTCTTTTTTTCTTTCCCTTTTCCTCAACACCTTCCCAAACAAAACTCACCTTATTATATATTCACACAATTGTTGCTAACAACCTCACAACAAAATTGAAGGAGATAGCAATAACAATATTCATTCTTTCTTTTACACTAACTCACATTTTTGTGCAAAATAACAACATTAAATATTTTATCTACTATGGGTGTAAATTCAATCTCACGCACATTAGAAATCACAGTTATATCTGGCGAAAACATTCATGCATCAGAGGACGCGTACGTTGTCGTTCGAGGTGAGTCTCTAAATTGTCACACAACAAAAACAGTGAAAGCTAACGGTGTTGGAGACAAGTCGAGTTTCCTTTCGTGGAATGAGAAGTTCCTGTTGGACATGCCATTGCATGCAAGGTCAATCACGTTTGAGGTGCAAAGCAACAAGTTCAAAGGCGTTCGTCCTATTGGAGTTGCAAGAATCGCGCTTGTGGATATTCTTGATGGCAATGAATCGGAAAATTGCATGCAAGTTTTGAGGTATAGATTGAGGGATTGGGAAGGGAGGAAAAATGGAGTTATTCATTTTGGTGTGAGGGTGGTTGTGCCGGAGAAAATATCGGTTACCACGCCCGAAATCGACACCCTCATGAATGGAAAGAAAAATTATGGTGGCAAGAATTCTAATGGTCTTGTTATTGGTATTCCTATTTGGTGGAACTACTACCCCAATAGTATTATTTAAAGATTTTAATTCAAAGATTAATGAAGTTAAATTCAATGGTAATATAAATTAAAGTATCTTGTGTCCAAAACTTCACTAAAGACAGGTTCTGTTCTGTTCTACTATTTCAAAGGTGGTTGTTGTGTTTCATAAAATGACAGCCATTTTTTTATATGTATTCATTTATCTTGCAATGGTACATAACCAAAAAAAGTTTGTGACAAATTTCCTGTTGTTAATACTTTCTGAATTTTCCTGTTTCAATTTACAGAAACACAAGGACTGGTCCTTTTTGACATTTTATTGTTGTTTCTTTATTCTTATTTCTATTTCAATTTTGTCATATTCATTTTTACTTTTTATTTTCTATTAAGCTTTATTTTTATTTATTTTAGAGCTCATTTTAATTTATCATTCTATTCTCTTCATTTTATAGACATATTTTTAGATGATTTTGATCTATCAGTGATTTGATTTTACAATAATTTCTACTATATTGATAGCCTTCTCTAAAAATAATAAGGTGGTTTTGTAATTGTATATAAAGTTATCATTTAATACTCCTATTTAAGTATTATTATTAGAGAAAATAATTATTAGATATATATTGCTGATATATACAAATATTATGTATTTATTCATAAATATGTGATTATGCAGGAAAATTAGTAAATGATCGATACAGCTTTTTTCTCTTCCATAGAATTTTTAATTATAGTAATTTTTATCGTTACATTCAGTGTTTTAAAATCCAGCTCGACCCGGCCGGTCAGAATGGTCTGATCGAGAACCGGTGGATCAGGCGGTTCGATTAAGGGATAAGATCGAAATTACATTTAGACTGGATGAAACCGATGTGAACCGGCCGGATTATCGGTTAAATCAGTGAACCGGCGGATTTGACTATTTATTTTATTTTTTAGGGTTTTTGAAAAAAATTTTAACATAAACGCTTTGCCTCCTCGTTTCCCAAACCTAGACATTTGAAAGGTTTTCTTTTTTATTCTGTCTTTTCTTTTTTTAATTGAAGTCATATTCTCAATTTTCTCTACCAACAAAAACTCTCACCAGCTGCTGTTATTTGATATTCCTTGTTTGCCGTCAAAAATTTCATCAAAACATCAAAAACAAGTTATTTCTTTTTTACTTGGTCTAATTTGCATTGATGTTTTTCAATATGAATATTATTGTTTCATTTTGTTGATTAATTGATATAGAAAATAAATGATTAAATTTGATCATTTTCTATAAAATTTGGTCTTTTAGCTTAACAAATTGAGATAGAATTTGTATGAATGAAACAATTTTATACTTTTATGAATTAACTTATTATAGACTGATAATGAAGTTGTTGTATATTGGAGATAGAAATTGGGATAGATATATATTACTGTAATAGTCGTTGTATATATTATGAAGATAAAAATTGGGTTTAAAACTATGTAATCTAAATTATATAGTAAGACAAAGTTTTCTGTATTTTATTAATTTAAATTATATAACAAAGAAAAGTTTCAGGATTTTATTAATCTAAAATATATAGCAAAGGCTGGAAAGCAAAGTTTTTATTTTTTTATTATATATATGGTGATGCAGAGTAACAATGCTTGGTAGCCTATATGTAATATACAACAACATATTCATATATTTTGGATTTAGATATGCTACATATTTAATGTTTCTTATAATGTTTTTATAAATTCAATAATTTTTGTTTAGAATTGTGTTTTGTTAATATTTTTGTAATATAGTTTTGTATTTTTAAATTTTGATTGATATTAGATATGACATCACCCGCTGAAGTAATAACTTTGGAAGAAGTTACATCTCAAAATCCAACCCAATTCCAGAGCAGTAGGGGAAAAACTGATATAGCTTGGGGTCATTGTAAACAAATTGAAGGGAAAGGAAAACTTGTTAATTTGTGTATTTACTGTGATAAAATTATTAGAGGGGGGGGGGGGGGGGGGGATTAATAGGTTCAAATTCCATTTGGCTGGAATAAAAGGTCAAGTTGAAACATGTAAAAAGGTGCCTCCAGATGTTCAATATCAAATGAAATAAAATCTTGATGAAGGTGCAAATAAGAGAAGAAAGACTCAAGCACAAAATTTTGATGTTGATCTTACTACTCAAGAGGGTGGTGTAGTAGAAATGGATGTAGAACAATCAATATCAAACTCGGTGATTGTGTCTCAAAAGAGAAAGAATACTAGTCATATTGGTAATTATTTTATGCCTAGAACAACTCCTGGAGCTCAACCTTATTTAAAAAGTGTGTTACAAAGTAAGGACTTGGTGGAGAAGTGTGATCTAGCTATTGCAAGATGGTTTATTGATTCTTCTGTGCCATTCAATGCAACTAATTCTGCGTATTTTCAATCTATGGATGATGCACTTTGCAGCATGAGTCCGGGGTATAAAGTTCCAACTATGCATAATCTTCGTGGCTATTTGTTAAATAAATGGGTTGAAGATGTGAACAAATTGATAGAGGAGTATCGTGAGATTTGGAAGAAAACTGGTTGTACTCTAATGGCCGATGGATGGACTGATCGAAAAAGAAGAACTCTTATAAACTTTCTAGTTTATTGTCCCAAAGGTACTATTTTTCTAAAATCCGTTGATGCTTCTCATGCTTCAAAAACTGCAGATATGTTGTATAAGCTTTTTAGAGAGGTGGTTTTATTTGTTGGGCCTGAAAATGTAGTTCACATAGTGACAGATAATGCTGTAAATTATGTTGCTGTTGGAAGGTTATTAGAAAATGAGTTTCCTACTTTATTTTGGTCTCCTTGTGCAGCACATTGCATCAACTTGATGTTGCAAGACATGGGAAAATTAGAGGAAGTAAGTGAGACAGTGTCACATGCTTCTAATGTTACCAAATATACTTATAACCATTGTTATGCATTGTATTTAATGAGAAAGCAAACAGGTGGAAGAGAAATCCTTCGTCCTGCTCCAACTCGGTTTGTCATTAATTTCATTGCTTTGCAAAGTATTTTGTCTCACAAAAACTCACTAAGAGCCATGGTAACATCTAAAGAATGGACAAGCTCAGCATATGCCAAAGAAGCAAAGACAAAACAGTTTGTGGATCAAGTTTTAGATTCTGGATTTTGGAGTAAATGTGTTGATGTAGTTAAACTCACTGAACCACTTGTGCGTGTGTTGTGTATTGTTGATAGTGAAGATAAACCTGCTATGAACATTCTATACAAATTTATATTCAAAGCTAGAGAGGAGATGGTGATGAGGTTTCAAAGAAATAAGAAGAAAGTGGATCCTTACTTGAAAATCTTAGATAAACGTTGGGATGCACAGCTCCGCAAAAATCTTCATGCTGCCGGTTATTGGTTGAATCCAGCTTGTAGATATAATGATGTAGAATTTTAAAAACATGCATCCATAACATCAGTACTTTTAGATGTCATTGAAAATCATGCTAATGGAAATTCTGAACTTCGATTGAAGTTAACAGATGAGATGAGAATATTCAAAGACGGTGAATTAGATTTTGGAAGGAAATCAGTCGCGGATGAACGATGTATTGTGAGGGCAGGTAATTTCATAACTTCTAACTTTTGATATATATTTTATTTTATATTTCAATATGTTTATAAATTTATTTAATCACATGGTATAAACAGATCAATGGTGGGAAACTTATGGCACTTGTACACCAACTTTGCAAAGGTTAGCTATTCGTATTTTAAGCCAAACTTGTAGTGCTTCGGGTTGTGAATGCAATTGGAGTATATTTGAGCATATTCATTCCAAAAAAAAGAAATAGATTGGAGCACCAAAATCTTAATGATTTAGTGTTTGTTCGTTACAACTTGAGACTTCAAAATAGGTATTATTATGGTTATTTTTCTCTGATCATTATATTTTTATATTTAAATACATATACTTAGATTTAATTCATGTGTGCTTAGGAAAATAAGAAATGAGAGTTATGATCCTATCAATATTGAAATAATTGCCGACCATTCTAGTTGGGTATTAGAGGATTCACCACCTCTCTTAACCAATGAAGAGTTGGAAGCATTGCGGAAGGAACTTACAAATATGACCATCCAACCAATTTCAAGTGATATTGATATGTTCTAATATGAGCATAATATAGTTTGTGGTTGTGAATCAATTTAATGTCTCATATTTACCATCTCTAAATTTTTTTTGTTAATTATTTTTTAAAATATTGTTATAGATCAAATAGATTTAGATGAGGATGAAGATGGAGATATGGGTAATGCACAAGATATTATTGTTGATACTGTGAATCAAGAAAAAAGCAACACCAGAGAAGATGAAGTTGGTGGAGAAGACAATGAAGTTGAAGATGGAAATGAATATCAAGATTATGACAATTTGACTTCATGGACATAAAAAATTATGGATCGTTGAGTATGGATTTTTGTGACTTATTATAATACTATAACTGATGAATTGTTAAGTTTATATCACTTCTTTGAATCTATAATTTGCTACATTAAGTTTCTATCACTTATTTTGATTGTTACTAATACTTTTGTTTATTCTAAATTATTTGAATTTATAATTTTCTATATTATTATAGTTACAAATTTCAGGTAATGAATATATTTTTTATAGAAACCGGGTCAAAAGCCATGCGGTCTGACCAGTGATCCACTAGTCCGACCAATAACCCAGTGACCCAGTAACTTTACCGAATCGATCACCGGTCTGGATTTTAAAACATCAGTTACATTTTATTTGTAGCAATTTAAATCAATTTATGTTCTGATATATAGGGTTTATAAATAATTAATTAATTCACTTTTACTTCCCATTATAACACTTAATTTTCAATGAAAAGTAAAATGATATTACGATCACTATAAATAATAGTTAATTGTATTTATTATTCTTTTTAGTACTATTAAAAATTATGTCTTATCAAAATTTATATCATTATTTTAATGCCTTATGATCACTATAAGTTTATATTATTAATTTATATTATTAAAATGATGTCTTATCATTGTTGGAACAAATGATCATGAATATTGTGAAAAACAAGAAGAATAAGAAGAGAGAGAGAGTTGAGTTACTTAAGTGTAACTAACTCTGAAGTGAATTCAGTTATTATTTTTTTTATTACAAACACAATTACCTTTTATATAGGCAAAATAACTCAGACCCAAATACATGCTAAAAAACCCAAATAACTACATAATAAGAATTAACCAACTAACACACCCCCTAATTCATGTTATCAAGACTTCTCATTCTAATGTCTTTCTTTAACTCTTTGAATCTAACTTTCTTCAGACGTTTGGTGAATATGTCAGCTAGTTGCACTTCTGTCTTGCAATGTTTTATTTTAAGCTTCTCTTTGTTGAC